GTAGATTTCAAAAATTAGTGCATGTGTTTTTTAAAGGATTGTTTCTCTGAAATGTCTAACTTTCAAAATTTGATTTCTTCCAAGATTTAATTTCATTACATTTAAGGTTTTAGAACATTCTTCTGTAAAATCTATAGTTTGTAGTTGAACTATATAGAAACATAGGATCCACTTGTTTGGGTGGATGGAATTAGAGGGTATTAACCTAACCATAATAAGTCAGAGAAAGACAGATACCATATGATTTCACTCATGTGGAGTTTAAGGTACAAAACAGATGAACATAGGGAAGGGAAACAATACAAAAACAGGGAGGGGGACAAAACATGAGAGACTCTTAAATATGGAGAACAAACTGAGGGTTGCTAGAGGGGTTGTGGGTGGGGGCATGGGCTAAATGGGCAAGGGGCATTAAGGAGGACACTTGTTGGGATGAGCACTGGGTGTTATATGTAGGGGATGAATCACTGGATTCTACTCCCGAAATCATCATTGCACTATATGCTAACTAAATTAATTAATTAATTTAAAAAGTAGAAACATTGCATCCCCCCAAAAAAAGATGACTACATTTATTTAGTTAAACAGAGCTGAAGATCAATACTGGCTCAGTGTCTAAAATTGGGAAATAGCAAATGGCTGTAACCTTTAATTTTTACTTTAATTTTAAAGGTTAAATACCTAATTTTTAAAAGTTGTTTAGCATTTATATATGTTGATTATGAAATTAAAATCCATCTTTTAAAAGTTTTGAAGTAGTGAAATAAAACTTTTAGGCAAACCAGGAGTTTAAAACACAAAAGATAATTCACAAACTTACTTTTGATTCATAATATACAGCAAGGTTATTAGGGTTTTTAAGCCCTGAGTTTTTCCTGTAAAAAACTGTTGTCTATATGTTAATAAAATTGAGTAAATGCCATCCCTTTGGAGCAATAATGATTAATTTAAGAAACATTAGAAACTTGGAGATGTAGCAAGTACTCTATAAAAGTTCATGCATTTTTATCTTTTAGGAGAAATGAATATATGTCTAATAACATCACAAATTAAGCTGCTTTAATTTGAGGTGGTAGATGATAAAGGCCCTGAAAGGATTCTTTCTTCATGCCCTGAAAAAAAGTTTAGGACTAGATTTTTATTAAGGTTATTAAGGTTATTAAGGTTAAATGTGGTAGATTAGCCATACACATTTATAATCTCTCCCTTCTGAATCACCACTAAGTTACATGAAAGGAATCCATAAAGGGGTTGTATAGAATGGGTACCTCCCCAAAGTCAAGGAAAAAGATTGAGGAGGAAGGTCTCAGCAAATGAGAAATCTACACATATTTGGAAGATAAAAAATGAATGGAAGAGAGTGTCAGGAGGGCATAGGAGAATGCCAGTTGGCCTGCAAAGCTCCCCAGAGAGGCTTAGGACTTGAATGCACCAAGGTTCTATGTGAGGCAGAGGTGAGCCACAGGGCTAAAAATAGGGGATTAAATGACCTTTGTATACAGAGAGGTTGGACCTCCAGTCTCATCAATCCCTTAAAGACAGGCAACAGTGCCCCTTATGAAGGAGACCACTGGTATTCTGAGAAAATTAATTGGAGAGGGTCTGTGGACAGCGAAGAGCAGGGAAGAATCATACTAAAACCAGAATTGTGACTCCCCCCCCGCCCCATGTTGGTTTAATCTCAGAACTTCCACCACAGAAATCTGTAGCCTTCCTATCCCTCCAGATATGGACATTTGGTGATTCCCTCTAGCTGGTTGATTACACTGAAGTGAAACCCCAAATCTATAAGCTATGCTCATATACACAGAGCTTCCAATAAGTTTTAAAGAATTTCTAGACATATCAGATAAAGAGTTAGTATCCAAAATCTATAAAGAGTTTACCAAACTCAGTACCTGAAAAACAAATAATCCGGTGAAGAAATGGGCAGACGACATGAATAGACACTTTCCAAAGAAGACATCCAGATGCCCAACAGATACATGAAAAGATGCTCAACATTGCTCATCATCAGGGAAATACAAATCAAAACCACACTGAGATACCACTTCACACCGGTCAGAGTGGCTAAAATTAACAACCCAGGAAATAGATGTTGGCGAGGATGTGGAGAAATGGGAACCCTCTTGCACTGTTGGTGGGAATGCAAACTGGTGCAACTGCTCTGGAAAACAGAATGGAGGTTCCTCAAAGAATTAAAAATAGAACTACCTTATGACCCAACAATAGCAGTACTAGGAATTTATCCAAAGGATACAGGAGTGCTGATTCATAGGGGCACATGTACCCTAATGTTTACAGCAGCACTGTCAACAATAGCCAAATTATGGAAAGAGCCTAAATGTCCATCAACTGAGGAATGGATAAAGAAGATGTGGTTTATATATATAGTGGAATACTACATGGCAATGAGAAAGAATGAAATCTTGCCATTTGCAGAAATGTGGATGGAACTGGAGGGTATTATGCTAAGTGAAATAAATCAGGCAGAGAAAGATATCATATATTTTCACTCATGTGGAACTGGAGAAACTTAACAGAAGACCATGGGGGAAGGGAAGGGGAAAAAATAGTTTCAAACAGAGAGGGAGGCAAATCACAAGAGACTCTTAGAACAAAGAGAACATAAGAGAACAAACTAAGGGTTGATTGGGGGTGCTGGGGAGAGGGGAAAACGGTTGATGGGCATTGAGGAGGGCACTTGTTGGGATGAGCACTGGGTGTTGTATGTAAGCAATGAATCATGGGAATCTATTCCCAAAGCCAAGAGCATACTGTATACACCGTATATTAGCTAACTTGACAATAAATTATATTAAAAAAAAATTTCTGTTGAAGTAAAACGTGTTCAGGAAATATGGATATACTTATATGTATATAACAGAATTTTCAATGTACAGATTGAGGAATTTCCACAAACTGAACATAACTGTGCAACAAGCACTAAGATCAAGAGATGGATAATTAGCAGTACCATAGAAGCTTCCCTCACATACTGTTCCAGTCACTGCTACCAGCAGAGGTAGACCAGTATCCCAACTGCTAGTGCTATAGATTAACTTTACCTTTTTGAACTTTATATAAATGAAATTATACAGTACATACATTTTTTAATCTAATGTGTTCTGTTCAGTGTTATGTTTGTGAGATTCATTCATGTTGTTGTATAATTATAGTTTATTTAGCACAACACTACAATTACCCATTCTGCTATTGATGGGCAACATATGAGTGTTGATGGGTAGTTTCCAATTTGGGGCTCTTACAAATAATTCTTCTATGAACATTTTATACACATTATTTGGTGAAATACATACACATTTGTCTTGGGTATAAACCTTGAAGTAGAATACTTAGTCCATCAGGTTTTCAGCACCTCATTCTAGTATATAAGGAAACAGCCAATGTTTATTAGATATTTGACTAAATCCCCAAAGTAAAAGAGAATAGAAAGGAATGAACCCAAAGAGTCAAAATGAAAAATTTAAGAGAAATTTGAGGAAATTTCTGGAAAGCAGAATAAAAAGACAAAAGAGGTAGAAAATAGAAGAGAAAGTTAAGTCTTAGAGGGAAGAAATATGAAAATAAATTATAGGAAAACTTCCTTAAAGCTGAAAGACATTGATTTCCGTATAGAAGGGATTTTCAGCACAATAGGTGTAAAAGACTCCTATCAAGGCACATCATTCTGAAATTTCTGAACACCATGAATTAAAGTGGAGATTCAGAGGAAAGAAACAATTTCATGCTCAAAGGATCAGGAATCAGAGTTTGCAACAGCAACATTGGAAGCTAGAAAACAGAACAATATCTTAATTCCTGAAGGAAAATTGTTAACAACTTTGAATTCTACACCTAGTGTAACCTTTAATTAGGCATAAGGGTAGACTGAATTCATTTTCAGACATGTAAGGATTAAAAAAGTTATCTTCTGTCACCCCTTTCTCAGGAAGCGTGTGAAGGATGTGCTTCAGGAAGACAGGTGTAGGAGCTAGAGATTCACCGCAGAGGTGAAGGGGGTTGTCAGTGAGAATGAGAAGTCCTGCATTACAGTCAGCTGTGCAGCAGGCCTGGAGAGCAACTAATCTGATTACAACATGAAGATAGAAGGTTCTGGGAAGGGTCTTTCCAAAAAAAAAAATTTTTTTTTTTAAGAAATAAAAGACTTTGATTAATTTTCTGGCATTTGAGTATTTGAAAATGATAAATATTTTAACTGACCATGAATAAAAATATAAAATATGGCTTACAGGGAATAGTATTTCATGATGATCATATTATAACTATTGATTACTGATTTATCAAAAATGAATATAACTATATTGTAAGGATATATGTTTCAGGGGTGGAAGTTAGGATGTGAGGATTAGCTGTATAAGAGAACTAAATTCTTACATGCTGTATTAGGAATTGGTAAAATATTTTTCAAATCAATAAATGAAATAATGGCAGTATAAACATTATTTAGAAGTATGGAAGTAAATACCAAGAGAAAGTTGAAAAAAAAAAAAAGGATGAAAGTTATTTGTTTTTGATGAGAGGAGGGGCGGGGGGTAATGAGGGGGCTGCTATTTTGTACTTACTGATCCTTTGGCATTTTTGGATTTTTTTTTTTTTTATTTATTTAAAAAAAATTTCTTTTCTTCTTCTTTTTTTTTTTTTTGTTAAAAAAAAACCATTACTAGGCTCCACACCCAATGTGGGGCTTGAACTTGCGACCTCAAGATTAAGAGTCACATGCTGTACGCCTGAGCCAGCCAGGTGGCCCTATTGTTGGATCATTTTAAAAAGTAGTAAAAGTATATTTTTTGCATTACTTGATAAACTAAAAACTAAAACATTAATGATAAGTTCTTTTGAGGAACATTAGGATTAAAGTGTCCCCGTTAAAAGGGAGTCCGATATAAAGAAAAAAAAATGTGAGTTTACCTTTTGTATTTAAAAGAGCTTTTTAGCCTTATCTCTGGTTTTATTTTGTTTTATTCTAGGGCTTCAAAAACAAACCAAAAAAGATGGGTCACATAAAACCAGACTTGATTGATGTGGACTTAATCAGAGGTGAGTTCCAACTTTGGTTCATTTCTTATGTATATTATTATATTATTTCATAGTGGTGCTAGATATTATCTTCCCTTTATGATGGTAGTTTAGTCTCCAAAAGGAATATTCTTCCCTCATTCAGGCCTTAGGATTTTTTCCCCTTTGCTTTGGTACTGTGTAGCTATATAAATTACATGGTGTCCATAAGGGTAAAAAAGGGATGAACTTGGAAATTGCTGTTGTGTAATTGAGAAAAATATACTGTATAACATTCATGTAAGCCTGATTTATTTTGAGCTCCTGTCCTAGTGATTGAGGCAAGGAGTTATATTTAATGAACATCTGAGAGGATTCTTTTTATTTTTTTTTATTATTTTTTTTTTAAATGTTTTTATTTATTTTTGAGACAGAGACAGACAGAGCATGAGCAGGGGAGGGGAAGAGAGAGAGGGAGACACAGAATCTGAAGCAGGCTCCAGGCTCTGAGCTGTCAGCACAGAGCCCGACGCAGGGCTTGAACTCACAGACTGTGAGATTATGACCTGAGCCGAAGTCGGACGCTCAACCGACTGAGCCACCCAGGCGCCCCGAGAGGATTCTTTTTAACTGAACTGGTTATGTGTTGATTTTTACTCTCTGCTGTTTTTAATATAGTGTTACAACGAAGCATTACTATAGTATATGTAAATGTTTGATGTTTTGTTTTATTGTATATTTAAAGGCTCAACATTTGCCAAAGCCAAACCTGAAATTCCATGGACATCTCTGACTCGAAAGGGGCTTGTTCGAGTTGTCTTTTTCCCGTTGTTCAGCAATTGGTGGATTCAGGTTACCTCTTTAAGAATCTTTGTTTGGCTGCTATTGCTTTACCTCATGCAAGGTAATTGGAGGGGTGGAATAAATTATGACAGGTTTTTTTGTTTTGTTTTGTTTTGTTTTTTTACTGCTTTTGCTATTAAATAATGCAGACCTTACTGTTCTTAGTTTTACCCTTCCTTCAAGAGTTTAAAGTACCAAGAAATGAAGGAATGTACACCATTTGGGGATCATCTTCGATTTATTAGCTCACAGAGAGCAAACATGATTGTCTGACTCTCTTCTCTTGAATTTCTTTCTACCCGTCTTGCTGGCCAGGCCTTTTCAATCTTTTCTTCTGTGTGACCTTTGAATATTGGATTACCTCAAGATTGATCCTGGATTCTCTTCTCTAGGTACTCTTGTCAAGCCCCATTGCTTTAAAAATAGCTGATCAACTGGTGATTCTCAAATTTATATCTCCCGGCCAGATGTCTCTGCTGAACTTCAGACTTATAAATCCAACTGCCTGCTTTTAGGCATTTCTGTATAGAGATTTAACAGGTATCTTGAACCTAATCCTGTCCAAAATGGACCTCTGGATTTTTTTTTTTTTTTTGTCATCATAGTCCACGACACTAGCATTACTTTGCCTAGACCACTGGAATAATGTCTACTCTGAGCCTTCTTTCTACCAACCATTATTTTTACAGCAACTAGACATATCTTTTACAGTAGAATTCATATCATGTCATTTTCCTGGCTAAACTCTTGAGAGATTTCTCACTGCCCTTGGAGTAAAAATCCAGACTCCTCACCACGGCTTCAGTGCCCTACATGGTCTGTTCCCTGCTGACTTCTTAGAGGTCATGTCTTACTGCTCTCCTCCTTGCTTGCTGTAGGCATATTGGCCCTTTTTCTGTGCTTCATACAGAACTCTGCATTCTGTTTGAAGGCTATCTTTTTTCTCATCTTTAGGATCTGAACTCAGATGGAACTTTCATAGAGAGGGCAGCCCTATCTGTACCTTCTAATTTTTTTTTTTTAATTTTTTTTAACATTTATTTATTTTTGAGACAGAGAGACAGAGCATGAACAGGGGAGGGGCAGAGAGAGGGGGAGACACAGAATCTGAAATGGGCTCCAGGCTCTGAGCTGTCAGCACAGAGCCTGACGCGGGGCTCGAACTCACGAACTGTGAGATCATGACTTGAGCCAAAGTCGGACGCTTAACTAACTGAGCCACCCAGGTGCCCCTAATTTTTTTTTTTTAATGCTTATTCATTTTTGAGAGAGACGAGTGCAAGGGGGGAGGGCAGAGAGAGAAGGAGACAGAATCTGAGGCAGGCTTCAGGCTCCGAGCTGTCAGCACCAAGCCCGACGTAGGGCTAGAACCCACGAACCTCGAGATCATGTTCTCGGACGCTCAACCAACTGAGCCACGCAGGTGCCCCATGTACCTTCTAAATAGTCCTACCATTCCCCAGGAATCTATTTGAATTTCTTTTTATTTTTATTTATTTTTATTTTTTAATGTTTTTATTTATTTTTGAGACAGAGAGAGACAGAGCATGAGCAGGGGAGGGGCAGAGAGAGAGAGAGAGGAAGACACAGAATCCGAAGCAGGCTCCAGGGTCTGAACTGTCAGTACTCACGGAGATCATGACCTGAGCTGAAGTCAGACGCTTAACCCACTGAGCCACCCAGGCGCCCCTCTATTTTAATTTCTGTATTCCACAACTACCTGATGTTGATGTTTCTCTTCTACATTCAGGGACCCAGCACATTCTCTTTAGCACTATACGTCCACTGCCTACCAGGAATACTTTCTGAAAGGGGACCATGTATATACTATGGTTATACCTAAGCAAAAAAGACATGAATTAGAACAGTAGGTGAAGGTTGGGTTAGGGTGGAAGGATTTGGGGTGATTTTTATTTTATCTGTGTCAGTTTTTTTGAATTAACTTATAGTGGGAAAGATAAATCTATGAATTTATAGATCTGTAAGTTCAGTTTTCTGAAGTTGTGACAATGCTGTCCAATAGAATTTCGATGATGCTAGAAGTGTTCTATGTCTCACTACCCAGTGCAGTAGCTGTTAGTCATGTGTGGTTTTTGTGAGTACTCGCAATGTGGTTAGTGTGACTAAGGAACTGAATTTTAATTTTATTTAATTGTAAATAAATAGCTGTCATTTTAATGGCTGCATAATATTCCATCATATGAATACACTGTCATTTAAAATGATCATTTTCATGTCTATGTGAGTCTCTCATATGGATTTACCATAAATACTTTTTATAGCTACTTAGTATTCCATTATATAAAAGTATCATAATTTAAATAACTGTTTCCATATTATGAACATTTAGATTATTCCTGGGTTTTTATCCCTATTAATAATGCCATCATGAACAAAATTTTCCATATTTTATATTTCCTTAGAATTTATTCTCTGAAATAGAATTAAGAGATTGAAGAATGTAAACATTTTAAGGCTTTTAGTACATAAAATGAAATTGCTGGGGGCACACTTCTTTTTGGAAAGTAGTGGATGAGAGTGCCTGTCTTAGCACAATCTATCATTATTATAATTTTAAAAAATGTTACCTAATTGAATGTACAAAAAAAAATTGTGTGTTACTCATATAGTTTGCATTTTTTTGGTTGCTTGTAAAAATGAACTTGTAAATGTTTTTCCACATGTTAGTTATTGAAGAATTTAAATTATATATATATTAATTTTCATATATGCCATGGTCTATTTCTAAACTACATATTCTGCCCCATCAGCTTATCTGGTTATTCTCGTATCTGTACCACATTTCTTTAATTATTATTGTTGTTTAATATGTAGTAACATTGAATAGTATTCCTTTTCAGTATTTCTCAGATGTTTTTACTTGCTTACTTTTTCCAAATAACTTAGAATTATTTTATCCTAATCAAAACGAAAAACTAATTTGGAATTAGACTGTAACTTCCCCCTTCCCATGAAGATTTTGATATATTTAGGGGGAATGGGGAGAAAATTGATATATTTCACCTTTTAATCAAGTCTTCTGTTACATCTCTATTTATTAAAGCTTTGTAGGATTTTTAGTTCTTAGATCTTCCTAAAGTTTTTTTAATTTATTTTTTTTTAACGTTTATTTATTTTTGAGACAGAGAGAGACAGAGCATGAACGGGGGAGGGTCAGAGAGAGAGGGAGACACAGAATCGGAAACAGGCTCCAGGCTCTGAGCTGTCAGCACAGAGCCCGACACGGGGCTCGAACTCACATACCGCGAGATCGTGACCTGAGCCGAAGTCGGCCGCTTAACCGACTGAGCCACCCAGGCGCCCCTTCCTAAGGTTTTTTAGGAAGATTTTTTAATCCAGTAAAATATATATAACATATACTTTACCATCTTCACCGTTTTTACATATACAGTCGGTGGCATTAAGTCCATTTACATTGTTAGGCAACCATCACTGCCGTCCATCTCCAGAACTTTTTTCATCTTTCCAAACTGAGACATAGAACAATAATTCCCCAGTTCCTCCCCTCTTGGGCTCCGGGCAACCATTCTACTTTCTCTCTGAACTCTACTTTCACAGTTCCTCTGTGACTACCTAGAGTAGTTTCGGTCCCTCATGTAAGTAGAACATTGCAGTATTTGTCCTCTTGAGCCTGGCTTATTTCACTTAGCATAATGTTTTCAAGGTTCATCCATATGTAGCACATGTATTTCCTTCCTTTTGAAGGGTAAGTAAGAATCCATTATGTGTATATCCCATATTTCATTTAAATATTCCTCCATCAATGGACACTGGGTACTTCTACATTAAAGTAAAATATTTATGTGTTTATTTTTGTTGTTGCTGCTGCAGATATGATACTTTTTATTTTATAAATTTCAACTGGTTAGTGCTGTTACATTTGAAGGCTATTTATGTTTAAAATTGTTATAACCGGCCTCTTTATTAAACTGTCATTAATTTGAATAGTTTTTCAGTGCTCCTCTCAGATTTTCTTATTATACAACCATGTTTTTGGCAAATAATGAAAATCTGGTCTCATTTTTCATGCATTTCATTTACTATTATTGAATTAGTCAACATTTTCAGAGCAGCGTTTAGGTGATAACAGTAAGAATGGTCATCCTTGTTTTGGTCTTGATTCAGAATGTCTTCATTAGTATGATGTGTGTTCACTTACTCTTTAGTATATAAGGGACATATTTTTATATTCCTGTAATTTCAGAAGAGATTGGCATTTAAGGTAACACAAATCAGGAACAAATGTTAATTTTTGTGGAATGCTTTTTCACAATAGGAATTGGCCAAACTCAGTGGTTAAAGGTACAGTCCTTCACAAGACTGTCCTCACTTCAGACACCAGCCTCACTTTGGGAGTCCCCAGTGCTACCCTAACTTCTGACCCCCGGGCTACAGTTTTGAGGGTCCCCCACTCATTCCTGCATGTTTGATAATTCACTCCCAGAACTCAGGAAGGTGTTATACTTACAGTTTTGTAATATTAAGAGTATATTATTATACAAATTAGAAGAGATGCATAGTGTGAGAGGATTTAAAACAGGAAGTTTTCATCATCCTCAGGGATATGGTACCCGTTCTGCCATGATGAGTAGCAAAGCTGACAGACTAGTGTCGATCAGGGATGCTCACCCAAGCTTTGGTATCCATAATTTTTATTGGGGACTTATTATGTAGGTATAACTGATTGAGTAATTGATCAAGTGGCCAACTCAGTCTTTAGCCTTTGTTCCCTCCCCACCCCTTCCCAGAGGTCAGGCTGATACAATGTGCCTCAGAGCCTCAACCCTCTAATCACATGGTTGGTCTTTCTGGCATGGCTACCCCATCTGCAGTCACCTCATTGGCGTAAACTATCAGGTATGGTCCAAGGGGCCCACTGTGAATAACCAAGGTACTTCCATCACTTGAAAAATTCCAAGGATTTAGAGGTTACCTCCCAGGAATCAGGGACAAAGGCCTTTTACATAATTGTCAGTTGAGATGATTTGTATATATATATAACCCAAATTATGTTATTAAATTATTGGATTAAATCAGTTCAGTAAACAAACATGTAAGTGCCTACAATGTGTGCACAAGTAGCGTTCTGTCTGGGCTCTGAGATACATTTTTCGCTCCAGCATAAACCCTGCATGGTCTTGGTGAATTATTCTTTGTTTTATTGTCAAATTTACTTCGATAGTATTTCAGTTATTCATTCAACAGATAATAAGTGCCTCTTATGTGCTGCATACTGATCTAGCTATAGCAGTGAACCCAAGAGACAAAAAAATCCCTTCATTCATGGTGCCTGCTTTTTAGTAGTAAATTTATATCCATATTCATAAGCCAGCAAGATCTGTAGTTTATTGTTTTGGTGCTGTCATTTTTA